TCATACTGCATAAAGTCTTGGGCTCGACAGGCGGAACCTGCGAGGTAGTCGGCTGCATTGTTCCCCTCCCGAAATATGTGGGAGAAGCTAACGGCTAGGGTGTCAGTAAGAGCTTTGATCTTATGAATGAAGTCTCTTTCCCGCCAGTCACCACCGGGGGTCGGGACGGCTAGGAGGGATATAACAACATTAGAGTCAAGCTCAATCCAGATACGGTCAAAAGTCAATCCGTGACATAGGGTTAAAGCTCTCCAAACGGCACGGTGCTCTGTGAAGGTACTGGTCTGAAATCCGAGATACTCATGAAAAGCGAAAATGGGTCTGCCTCTGTGATCTCTGGCAATGCCACCTGCTCCGGCCTCACCGGGGTTACCCTTCGAGGCTCCGTCTCTATTGATCTTATAAATAGTGTCAACGGGAGGAATGGTCCATCTGATAACCTTCAAATAAGGGCGTTTCTGGCGACGAGGGGGTCAAAAAGAGGGGGATAGAAGGTGACTCAAGAGAGGGGCTCGGGAACATGAGGACTCCTCCAGGCGCGAGGAATTGGCTAAGAGCTGGAGGGCTTAACTGTGAATAGAATACATATGTTACTCACCATGAAGTCCTACAAGCAACTTATAAGTTTATTGTTTTCAAACAAGTTTCATTTGGTATCAGAATTTTTGTTTTTTTTAGAAAAGTAAAACTCATCTCAGAAGGTTGTTTATATAGCTTTTTAATAAATTACATTGAAAATTTTATATCATTTAACTTATAAGTTAAGTTTACTGAACACTTTCATTGTATTAGATAATTTCTCAGTCATCAGCCATAAGTTGTCAGTTTTAAGTTCGAAACTAATTTATGACCAATCAATTAACTTATCAACTATAAGTTAGGTTTTCAGCTAGATTACCGAACATGCCTATGCCAATTAGTTTTTCAATCATCAGTCATAAGTTATTATGTTAAATTCGAAATAAGCTTATGAATTATCAATTAACTTATTATTTGTAAGTAACTTTTCAGCTAGATTTACCAATTTCACATCTTGAGTACTAAATGTCTAAATTGTGTTTGATAAGCATCATAAACTACATTATAACCTATTTAGATAGCTTATAAGTTTTTTTTTTTTTTTTTTT